TTCATGTTTCTTATATATGGCTGCTACTTTTGAGGGGTCGGGTTTGACTCCATCTTGAGTGACTATTACACCATAGAACTTGATTTGCTTTTGCTTTATACGGCATTTCTCAAGATTTAGTTTCAGTCCGGTTTCGACATATCTTCTGATCATCTCGAGTAGGTTTTGATCATGTTCTTGTTCTGTTTTTCCAAAAACAACACTGTCATCTGCAGTGCCTATGACACCTTGGCATCGTTCAAAGGTTGTTCAATCTTCTTTTGAAAAATATCTTGACTCATTCTTAATATGTTATGATGTTATGTATTCTTGATATTTGATCTAAGTCAGACGAGCACAAGACGATAATAAACATTCAGCCGTGTTGATTTCATAGGGAAGGGAAATGTTTATTTTCGTATCGAATATCTTCACTATATTCGAGTATACGTATCGAGTATCACGACATCCCCTTTACTTTTAGAAAAATTCAAAATGGACATTTCCAACATCCTCCTCCACATGGAGGCACCAAGGACACATTCCCGCGCGCATCAGTGGCGAAGCGTTTATATCAAATAATCACTGCTTCCCTTCCTAATTTTGAAACATTGTCGCTGTCAAATTCACCCGTAACGTAAACCTCATAAATTAAAAGTAAAAAGACGCTCATAATCACCAATGAACAGTATGCCTAACATTCAAAACGGTTTCACTGCCACAGAAATAGCATGCTCACCCCTCTCGGGCCACTCCATAAGCAGTCACAAGTTTTGATTAAGTAAACTTACTGTAAGGCTGGAAGAGTCTACCAATAGAGTTGAAGGGAACATGTGCATAGCAGTCAAAACTGTTTCATTGCCACATATACCCTGTTCACCCCTTTGGGGCCACAGTTATAAGCAGTCACAAGCTTTGATTATGTGAGCTAACTATTTCAGTGGTCGAGTCTACCTCACAAATGTGAGGGGAACTAACTCCTAATAATCTCTTGACTGCTGCTAGTGCTTTTTTTTTTTCCTCGGCTTTTTACTGTCCTATAATCAGATCGTGACCTCGATTATAACATCAGCTCCTGGCCGCGAAAGGCTACACAAAAAACAGCCAAATGTGAAAAAAAAAAGAAAAGATAATTGTCAAGCTCTACCAAAGAGTTAGACTCACTGGCAGATCTATAACATATAGATCTAGTACTGACATCTCTGCTTCTTTGCTTTGTGTTTGTGCATTCACATCTAAAGTTTAATTTAATTTTAGTTGGAATTGATATTTAATAAGATACTTTCACGATTATTTTGGCGGTTGAACATACAATATGAATTCCGGATTTGTTTTCATTCACAACTCAGAGTCGCTGCCTCGAGTAAGATTCCTGTGTGATATCTCCAGGCCATTTCTGGTCCCGTTTCACTTTGATTGCCCATCAAACAAGTCAGACTTCGCCGCTGGCGCGCATGACACGTGTTTTAATTTCAGCTCGTAGACTACATTATACTAACTGGGCCCCCTTTCGATGAAAGTAATGAGTCATTGGCCTACTCTATTTACACTCTACTGGAATGGAGCAATAAATCTTGAGAGAAAAGTGACTCATGTGTTTCCAAGTTGCAAAATATTTAGAGTCTAACTAAGAGATGTATAGATTGATTCTCTATGCCGCTTTCGTGGTTGTTCACTCCATATTTTCAGAGGCGCACGACTAGTGAACGGAGAGGAAACTTCACTTATTTACATTTGTGTCTTAGGAGACGGACTTTCCCAAGATCAGATCTAAACGAAATTAAGGAGGGGGGGGGGGGGGGGGGGGCTACACCCCCAAAATCAAAATTCGGCTCAAAATCATGGAATTTGAGTTGTAGGCATTTTTAGCTTCCTCAGCCTCTCCTACAACTATTTCATGGCATAAGAACCCCCAAAAACCGTGTTTTTCCCCATACCGGGCATGTTTGTTACCGCCATTTCCTCATAAAAGCAATATTTTATTTTTCTTTATCGGCCGTTTTCTCAAAATGCTACTTTTCTCTATACTTTTTTGAATAACTCCACAATTTTTCATTCAATCCTCATGAAATTTTCACAGAATGAAGAGAAGAGGTAATACTAAAAATTTGTCAGTTGAATGTTTGATATATGGAATAGATTTTTGTTGGTGGTGTCTTGAGTGTGGATTTTCACGGATTTTTCGCAAACTTGAATGCTACCTCAGGAAAAAATTCATTAAAAATTTTCTTATTTGATTAGGAGAAAAACAACAGACAAATTTTTAGATCTAATGTTCGTTAACACGCATTCAAAAAAACAATCAATTTCCAAGAGCAATAAGTGCGGTATTCATTACGTAAGACATGTCAATAAAATCCAATATGGCGGCGTATCCATGGAAACGAAACTTTTTCTCAAATTTGATTGCGGATTTCAAGACTCCTTACTATGCTTGTTACATGTGTGACATGTGGTGAAATTCGGTTCAGTAATAAGCGAGATAGCCTCCAGGTGTAGCCCCCCCCCCCTTAATGAAAAACTGAAAATTAACCTAAAGTGGCTTCAGGCTCCTCAACGAAACTGTGCACCCTTTGAATGATTCTGAACCACCACTAATTTTGTCAAATTCGAAAGTTGAATGGTTCGGAAGTTTTAGGCGTTGAAAGTTTGAACTTTCGCAAATATAAGATATAGAGATTATATTATCCAACGATTAAAAGAAAAATGAAATCGGTACAGTTTTTCATTAATTTATTTATGCTCTGCTTTTTATTTATTCTTTTGTAAGCACACACACACACACACACACACACACACACACACACACACACACACATTCACATACACACGCACACACACACACACACACACACACACACACACACACACACAGAGAGAGAGAGAGAGAGAGAGAGAGAGAGAGAGAGAGAGAGAGAGAGAGAGAGAGAGAGAGAGACAGAGACAGAGAGAGAGAGAGAGAGAGAGAGAGAGAGAGAGAGAGAGAGAGAGAGAGAGAGAGAGAGAGAGAGAGAGAGAGAGAGAGAGAGGCCTATAACTGGTGGTTAAATGAAGGTAGACCCTATAACTTTTTGATATGATTAAAAATCTAATCTTTTGAGTCTTTTCGCTTTTCTTTTCAAGTGAGTAATATTATATTATTATGATAAGTCATGTTCTATAAATAACAACATTTTGGTGCTCCAATTTTTAGCGCAAACTGTCGTGTGTGCTACCAGATCTTGGTGCAACAACTTCCACTGTCTTCTAAATATAGCAGAAAAGAGAATAAAAATTAACAGCGCTCACCCCTTGGACTTTCTGTTGACATAATCTACTTAACCTTTTTCATTTCCACTTTTATTTAAGCCAGTTGGATAATTAAAGTATTGTCTGTTGAAAAACTCGATTTGTGAGTTTTTTAAAACTCAAATTGTTAAGTGGAGATTTTAAACTTTTCTTCGTGATGAGTCATTGGTTATTTGGTACCACAAGTAGATTTTAATAACCATGCAATGCATAAGACAGCGAAATGTCGGTGGTTGCACCAATGGCATGGCGAAATCACCCAGGGCCTTTACATGTATATAATAATAATATGTAGACAGCCTGGTTGCGGGATGGACATGGCGATATTTTGTTTTACGGACCAAGATGCAACAACTGCTTGGGTCATGCATAATAATTTTATTCGACCTCTGGTTGTGGGTAGTAGGCTAACAATTTTAACTTATTTTTCTTGCTTGTAATTTTGTATAAAAAGGAAAGCAACCAAAAATAAATAGAATCTAAATAAATAAAACAAATAAATAGAACCCCCCCCCCAAAAAAAAAAAAATTAAAAAAATTATTAAAAAATAAAAATAAAACCCAACAAAAACAACAACCAAATATACTATTGTTAATTTTGACGAGCAATACCATTAGCATCTTACTTGCAGTAAAAATAGTTTAATCAAACACGCAGTAGGTCAGTCTGGCACGCACATTGCGAGCAACCCCCCCCCCTAAAAACACAACAAAAAACCAGACCAAAAAAATGCACGTACAGAAGGGATTCATATCCCAAATTTTTTCTTACATTACATACATTATTTGTACATGTATTAAGAACACACACAGTGTTCATAGTAAATAGGCCTAATTAAAATGTGTACTTTGGAATACAAAAATGGCATCAGCGAGGGAATGTTATATAATTAAGATGTTCTTCTCTGCAACTTCACCAAAACCTAACTATGCAGAACGCTGACACTCTGTTGCGTATTTATTTACATGTAGTAATCTCTGTTGAAAAGGAAGCGCGCTGACACGCCCGTCCTTCTCTTTCTGCACGGGACCGCAGACTTTCGATACGCAAACTACTTCAACTAGATGTTTTACAATCTCTAGTGTTAGCTAACTTTTTCCGACTAAGCCACCTGGGATTTTGTAGTTCATTCAAAAGCAAATTACATAATTTCTTTCTTGTATTCATTTCTTCGGTATTTATGAACAATACTGGTTGCATCTAAGTCACACGATGTTGCACGCAGGCAGAATGGTGGATGTACCAAGGGCTAACAACTTGTTGCATCGAAAGCATGTGGTTGCACACAGGGCGAAATAGGCAAATAGTTTTTCCCCTATGAAGTCTTTATCTGTCTGTCCCTTTGATACAGGCGTTGCCAGGTTCACTTTTGAACCAAATGAATCGACTGCCACTCTAGAACTTTCCCTTTGGCAACTCTGAACAAATGGTTGCAGCACGGCACTTTACTCTGTCAAGGAGTGGTTCTTTCACTGGGCAAGACCGGCGGCGCCGATCACTTTTTGTCGGCTGTAGAGTCTACAGCGGACAAGAAATTGATTGCTGACCATAATTTTTGTTTAGTTTCAAGTAAATACACAATATTATCTTATCAACCTTTAAAGAGCACTCGGCTGATTTGAAGGTGCCCTGAAAGACGATAGTAGTTCACTGCTGTGTTGTCGCACTATAGAGACTTGTCCCTTCATCTTTGTTTATCATGCCGGCTTGTATGTAAATCGCTCCTGTCACGATGTGGAACTTCTACGAGAGGCCTTTCCAAACACCGCCCGCCCAGCGGTGACTTCAACCTACCTGGCGAATTCAACTTTTGCCCAGGGGACAAGGCATGTAACGGGTCTGCAAATCACAATATTTGGGTCAAAAATTCGATTTTTAACTTTGTCCGTTTTTGGGTACCTGAATATCTAAAGAATCGATATCGCTTGATGTTTCATTAAAAGACCCACAAGAATTCACCGTTAGAGGCTTTTTCCAGAGGGCACCCTACTCAAAAGTTGGCGCATTTTCTTCAAATTAGCACATAATTGGAACGTGACAACAACAAGGTGTCTCTATGTCACCCTGACATGTTTAGTAGCATTGTGCTCCCAAGCTTTTCTTCTTTCAAGACAATAAATGATCAAGACGATCAAGATTTATGTATTTCTGGCAGTTGAGCATTTATACGCAAGATACAGGGCTCTTCTTTTTGTAGTTTTTGGGTTGTCTAGAACAATATGAAACCCCGTTGCTAAAAATAATATTATATGACGTCAGTGTGTGAGTGCGTATGTGTGTATGTGGGTTTGTTTGTTTGTTTGTTTGTTTGTTTGATTGTTTGTTGGTATGTGTGTGTGTGTGTGTGTGTGTGTGTGTGTGTGTGTGTGTGTGTGTTTGTGCATGCATGTGTGTTTGGTGCAATCTCGGACCGTGTTACTGAACAATTGTTCTGATTTGTACGTGACTGGTCAAGGGTAATAACTTTACTAAAACTTACTGAAGGTAGTCATGTTCACCTGTCACTGAATGCTTAATTTGGGAGAAAATGAACATATAACCTGATTAATTCCATTTAATATATCAGAGAGGGGCCAACGTTTTAAAAAATATCAAATTTATTGTTTTAAAAACTATGGTTTTTTATTTTTGACGTTGTCAAATCGGTAGGGTTTTTCTTTTGCGTTTTTCTCAAAAACTATTTTTCCACTATAGTGACAACGCCGGGACAGATGTTTTTAAAAATCCTATCAGAGCTACAAACTTGAAATTTTGCACAAAGGTGCTGTATAGTCTGTTTTGTAATCCGATGTTAGTATTTTGCGAAATATGGATTACTTCTTAAAACATTCACGATTTTGTGTCACTTTTTTTCCGTTTTTCGGAAGTCGTCCTGTGATAAATACATATTTTTGCTGTTTTTCTTGATAGGAATAAATCCCAGCATCGGATCACAGATAAATTGTTTGTGTATTTGTGTGCCAAGTTTAAGGCTTAAATTCGAGTATTTTCTTTGGAAAACATATGTCCCCGCAACATGTCAAAAAATCCAAGATGGCCGTCACGGAGACCAACTTTTTAATAAAATTCAAACAATTCCATCATAATTCTTCTAACTAGTCTATAATTATCCTATATCACCCTTAAAAATTGAAAGAAAGTCAAATCCCTAGAATTTCCCTCGCATCAGGTACATCTCCCGTTAAAAGACGGCTTCTAATTACCAATTGGCTTCTCTGTTACTTACAAAGGAAGGACACGTCTGCGTACAAATACATATAATTTTACATATTTTCATCAGTCTAGTTTATCCTTCAACCTATCTCTCATAACTGCTTGTACATTTATTGTTAGTATAATTATTATTTCGATTGAATTTTAAGCCGTTCGTGTTTCTGTTTGGTGTTCTCTTCGTCGCCTACTTCTCGGAGTTACCTTACTTGGCCAGGACTCTGGGCCGGCGCTCCTACGAGCCCCCCAGTTGATATCTTCCTATTATTTTGAGGGAAATTTAACGAGGAGATAGAAACGCCCCGTTCGGCTAGAGTCTGGGCCTAAAATATTTTTGAAATTATCAAACACAGAATCCCCAGCTTTTTCACAATGATTTGTATCAAGTTGTCTTAACAGATCAACATTTTAGTAAACATTTGCTAGGTGTATTCTGGAAAATTTCTTAACCCTATCCGTACGCTGGGGGTCATTTTGTACTCCAGGGTTGTATTTTTCATATTTTAGAATACTTCTAGATCTAGTGCGAAGATCTCTTTGAAACTTTCAGTATTTCTCGAAAAATCATTTTGACAGACTGCTATGCAAAGCGTACGGATCGGGTTAACGAGTAAATTTTCCATTTGGAAAGTGGGGGCACAGAGCTTCCCACGTCGTATGGATACGATAGTAAAACACGGCGTACGGATAGGGTTAATACATGTAAACGCTTAAAAAAATTTAGTGGGTGGTTTCTACAGATTTCAAAAGCTTTACACCTGGGGCAATATCGCTTTTAAAGTTATCGTCATTTTTTTTCTTCTAATCGCGACGTTATGCTTATTGAATGCAATGCTTTGACAAGCTTAGAGCAAAAAAAACAACAAAAAAACCCCAAACAAACGTGTTCACTATAAAATCAATTTCTTGTAACCAAAGAGGTTATAATACATGTAGTTCTATAGGTCACAGCTGTAACGTCACCCACGAAAACTCACTATGGCTGTGCGGGCCTACTTAGCTCGCTTTGTCACCATTAATTTTTCAGACGATTAGAAACAATGCTGTCGCGCTTGGTGTCCTTTACACCAAGGTCGTCATAGAGTTTGAAGCTCAGTTCAGATTTATTTTAACTTTTCTTTTTGTTGGAATTGTTGTTTAATCATATGACGTATACGCGTACACAATACTGCACCTGCTGACCGATTGTAGGAAACATAAATGCTACTGAAACCTTACCTGCACCCCGGCGCTTTTAACAATTGGCCAGTCACTTTACATAGAGATGAAGTTTTACCGAGGAGGGGCATTCGGCTTACCGAGTCTAAGCCGCCAAAACAATAGCCTACCGACCCCTCCCCTTTTTCATCACCCTGGCCAGACACCGAGTTCTATATTAGTTAGATGTACCATTTGACACAGTTCCCCACTTCACTTAGCCTTATGCAGTCATCTGAGAAATGCAACTAGAACCTTTGATTATGACCAGGAATTGTGTGCTATGCTCAGTACATGTACGTTTTCAGTATACTGTTGTATCTAATTCTAGACTTGATCTGCACGGGACAGCTTTATGTCTTAGGTACGGTATCAATTATTTCTTCAGACTATCTTAATTGTATAATACAACTTTTTAACATTATGTAGATACCAAGATGTTTTAGGGCCCAATAGGCATTTGGCGTGTGTGTGTGTGTGTTTGTGTGTGTGTGTGTATATATGTGTGTGTGTGTGTGTGTGT